AAATAAAAAAACATTAAAATTAAATTTTATTACATTTACAATTTTTTGGAATTCTGATGACTAGAAAAGGAACTGATTATACAGGAATTACCACCTAACATAAGAAACTTACATTCTTTAACTAAAACAAGAATTAAAAAATATTCAATGAAGCGCTCTTTAATTGTTTTAATATTTTTTTTATATACGTATTATACAGGGTGTTAGAAGTTTGACTTTCTTAATTTTAACAGACGATAGAATACATTAAAATAAACAAAAAAACCATATGGGTCCTAAATGCAACCATTTTCCAGAAAAAAAATATCAAAATCTCCAACAGTTCGATTAATTAAGGAACATTTACATAACTGGATGACACGAAGTACTCAATACACAATTCAGTTGGTATCTGGAATTAGACCGTGTCTGAGTGTTTTTTGCGTACCACTATTTCCTTTTCTTGAGGTGTTTTCCAACGAATGCGCGAAAATTAGATTCGAAGTAATATAGATGAAAACACAACTTTTTTGTTCATTTATGATTACTATATCTCAAGTCAAGTCAACTTTCTTACACCTTCTATTATTAGAACTGTATTTATCTATTTCGAAAACAACTTTTTTAAGTGTTCTATTTTATTTTCAATTTTTTTCACGTTTTTTTTTTATGTTTATTATAATTATTATATATAACTGTACTCTTGTTTTGATGTGTGTAAACATTTTTTTGTGTATAACATTAAAATTTAAATAAATCAATAAATACTCTGCTCCAATCATACAGATATAAATGATTCTTTTAATTTACCTACTTGATTGTATCTTATTTATTACTTATATGGTTTTAATATGTTGGTTCTTGTTTGTTTCAATAATTTTCTTACATTTCTATGTATAAGAACGTTTGTAATTTATTACTATTTCTTTTTTGTTCAAATTTTGCTTATGGTTTTATTTTAATAATATTTTATGACTGTTGCAAAATAGATAAATAAATACCAATATTAAAATATGTCTATAAACTTTTTATGAACAATGTATGTCAATTTACCACAATCTTTGTACATTAATTTTGTTCAGGTTTGGCTTCTCTATGCGTTAATGAAATTAAATTAAATTTCAATAGAAAAACTGTAATTCCTGTTCAGAATGTTCACTTGCTATTATGCAATTTATGCTAAAATCTATGAAAATACTAAAATTCGACAAAAGCAATTTTTCGAAAATATGTAACTGTAACCAAATTATCATTCAAGAATGGCACTGAACCTCCCAAATCTATCTACGGCACTGACAATTAAAATGCATTAAAGGAAAAAAGTAACAGATTCTTCCTATTCTTATTACTTTTTTTGTTTGGTTTTTATTACGACATACTCAGGGCTGTATTTATTGGGTTTTATAAGTCAAAAATTGTAATTATACCTATAAAAAGACATTTTAAATATAAAATTATTAACATTATTATTGTTTATTTTAAACAAAAAATTGAAATATATTTATGATCAGTATTTATAACAGAAAAAATACATATTGCGAATTTATATATTAAGTCGTTCTTATCTAGGTATAATTACCATTTTTGACATATAACATTCAACTCAGTCCTGAGGATGTCGTAATAAAAATCGCGAAACGTCGACAAAGGGTATTGTTTGAAAAAAAAGAAAGAAAACAATACTTCCTTGCTTATTCGTAATTAAAAATTTGTGCACCGTTTATGGGACACCCTGTATAGTTGATTATTGATAAAACCTCTTATTTTTACCAGTTCTACATGCCTCAATTTTGTAGAATTCGAATCGACCGCACCACGCGGTCAAGAAATCTCTCTCGCGCATTTCCTTTATTTCTGATCAGACAAAGCGCTAACCATCGGAAATTGGAATGCACCGTACGTACCGTCCGTACGGATGGAACTAATTTAGCACTGGCAAATGGGAAGGTGCGCCGCACCGAAATCCTTACCAATTAGTCCTAGTTTCCTTGCAATCAGTGACGGCAAACACTCGCGCCACGTCCGATTTTTCGCTAGCGCCGGTTTCCCAAGTGCAGACCAATTTTCGTGGCGTCGATGCCGAATAAAGTTACGGAAACACACGCGGTGATTGTTGAGTTAAATGATGAGTTACGTCGGGCGATTTTTCGGCTGCAAACAGAATGTTTCACTTGCAATACCGACGCAATAAGTTTGCGTTTTTGACTCGGGCAGAGCTGCGCTAGATTGAGAAGGAACGCGTTCGGCTAGAAGGAATAAGACTCAAACTTATTTGTGTTGATTTTGTAAGAGGGATTGTTTCGTAGTTCTGGTAATATAAATAACAGAAAGTACACCAAATTGTCATACTTTATCTATTTTCCCATATGACAGATTTTGAGTGCTCGATTTACCACGTGACGTCACGATGGTCAAGGTCGTTGCTTGGAATATAAACAAAATCAAAACCTTGTTATTGTTGTTTTCTATTAATTATAGGATAAATTCACAAACTAGGTTACTGTAATTGCAAAATATAACGATAATTACGCAAAATATAACAACAAACACGAACAATATTTGCAGATAATAGAAAACATCAATTTTATAATATATAAATAAGTGTGAGGTTATGAACTGTTTCCCTCCAAGCCAGTAGTCATGCCCATTTGGTCATGTGCCACAGATGCTCTATTGTAACTTCTTTGGATTCGTGATAAGAACTTTTTGTTGGGGTATTAGTGTATCTTGAAATATCGACTTTGGTAGGAGTTTGGATTGTCTTTTGCAATTCATTTTCACTATTATCTGGAATTGAACCACATATTTTGTTCTAAGGATAATTAAACATATTTTTTAAATTCTTATTGCAAAGCTAATTTGGATGTTAGGCAATATGAAGAAATATATCCAAACTAGTACCATCCAAGGGTGTTTTCGTAGAACTTGTTAGTTACTTAAGAGAAACTGTCAAATTCAACAACAGCAAGTGTGTCAATATCACTTATCCAAAGAAGATACATATTTTCAAAAATTTTGAACGTGAAAAAATATAAGAACCAAACACTTCATCTAAAAACATTTAGATATGAATGGTTGTGTAGAAAAAACAGTATCTTCACTTACATTTGTTTTAATATTACATGAAACATGCAGCAGCACTAAATAAAAGCCTATGTAAAATGTCATTAATAACATACGTATTATTATGTACCGAGGCCTAAAGAACACCAGAAGAAAGTACCCAGGCCGAGTTTTATGCAAAGAACTAGCAAAGCTAAAAGAATGCAGATTTTATGTAATTCTCCTTCCAACCTTAATAATTTGGCTTCGTTTTGTCGATCTTTGACGTAGTGTTACTTTTTAGTTGTCATATTATTTTACGTCCTGTCGGTTCCTTTTAATTTTTATGGACTCATTCACTTCACATCCTCTTTTACTTCACAATCGCTGATTATAGCAGATGTGAAGTAATTAAGTCCGTGAAACATTTGCGGACGTAAAATAATAAAAGATACATACAGTAACACGGAAATGAGTTCATAAGACCGCCAGAAGAAAGTAACGAGGCCGAGTTTTATGCAAAGAACTAGCAAAGCTAAAAGAATGCAGATTTTATGTTATTCTCCTTCCAACCTTAATAATTTGGCTTCGCTTTGTTGATCTTTGACGTAGTGTTACTTTTTAGTTGTCATATTATTTTACGTTCTCTCGGATCCTTTTAATTTTTATGGACTCATTCACTTCACATCCACATTTACTTCACAATCACTGATTATAGCAGATGTGAAGTAATTAAGTCCGTGAAACATTTGCGGACGTAAAATAATAAAAGATACATAAAGTAACACGGAAATGAGTTCATAAGACCGCCAGAAGAAAGTAACGAGGCAGAGTTTTATGCAAAGAACTAGCAAAACTAAAAGAATGCAGATTTTATGTAATTCTCCTTCCAACCTTAATAATTTGGCTTCGCTTTGTCGATCTTTGACGTAGTGTTACTTTTTAGTTGCCATATTATTTTAACTCGGATCCTTTTAATTTTTATAGACTCATTTACTTCACATCCGCTTTTACTTCACAATCGCTGATGTGAACGCAGATGTGAAGTAATTAAGTCCGAAAAAAAAACGGACATAAAATAATAAAAGACATAAAGTAACACGGAAATGGGTTCATAAAACCGCAATCTGATGAACTCTAAGTTTTCTATCATTAATTGGTGTGCAGTAGATTAATTAAATATCACTCTGTTTAAATTGAGACATCTCGCACAGTCAAACAAAAAATTTAAATGCGGAGGATGACTGGGTACAGCTTTTGAAACACATTTTTGTACTATTGATATTACCAGAACCACAGAAGAGTGAAATAGCCTCTATCTAGAAGAAAATATAGGCACACAAAAAGTTTGTCTGTTCCACCGATGAAACCCATATGACCCCATATATTTAGACACCCAGAAATAGAATTTGCTATGTGGAATGTCCCATCGTTCCCCATTTTTTAATTGTCAAGAACCAGGTTTCACTTTGGGTCTGTTAAAGAGTCGGCACATCATGTTCGTGGAGTTTATGGTATATCTTGGTTGTCCAAAGACTTGCTCAAGTCTTGAGGTTTTTTGCAGTTAAAAAAATGGAGAAAGATGGAGATTTAAATACTTAGGGTGGTATAGGTCCCATCCGAGATACATACAGTATTTCTTGTGTGTCTTCGTACTATTGTTAATTTGGAAGACAACATATGACGAGAAGGAACAAATGAGAGGAATATCTTCTAATAAAGCACCAATTATCTCTAATTTATTTCGAGTATTCCCGAAACTTTTTACGTGGAAAACGATGGTTAGAACCCTTTATTCGGCAGTTCTAACTGCCCTGGGCGTCGGGAGAATGTGACGCCGCCGCGGCGAGCCGCTGTAAACCACTGAAAGGCACCGGTAGATAATAAGTGAGCATAGGGACGGACGGACCGGTGAACACCTGACCTCATACGGTGGTTTCCCGATCCACGTGTATATATTCTACAGGGGGCGCCTTATGTCAAGAATTTAAACTAGGGTCGAGCAGCCTGGGGCCTGTGAGCAGCTTCTTCTTGGCCAGCCTCCGCCGGCGCCTGGCTCTCAGCCGGTGCAGGGTCAGGCAGATGAGCAGGACGATGGAGGAGATGACGGCGGCGGCGGCGGCCAGCGCCGGCAGCGGCAGCGAGTTCAGCAGCTTGGAGGTGGCGCCGCACTCCACCTCCGACTCGTCGTGGCCCGAGGGGCAGTGATTCTTCCTGTCGCACCACAGCGAAGCACTGATACACGCATCTAATTCCGGACACTTGTACGCGCACTCGAGGTCCGTCTCGTTGGCACTCGCGTTGACGGGGACTTGGAGCTGTTGGAGCAGCGAGGATCTCGACCTGGTGATCTCCAGCCAGCTGAAGGCCGCCACTCCCGCTTCGGCTCCTATCCATTCCACTAGGAAGTTTGGCGGTCTCTGTACCGCGTGGGCCAAGGATTCTCCCCACCACTCTTCGCTAAATATGTGGATGGCCAGCAGTTTGGTTTCTGGTTCAGCTGGACACACTACTCTTACGAGTTTTGGAGGTCGTCCGGAGTAGATCATCAGTCGGTTGGAGGTTGGACAGCGAGTGGACTCGTCTAGGCGCGGTTTAAGTGGTAAGAATGCCCCCCAACTCAACAAGAACAAACTCCTGTTGTATCTCGCTTCCACCAACCAAGGCATTCCGGTGCAAAGGCTGTCTGATCTCTCAACAGGAGGATTGTTGAACTGCACGTCACCCCCATCTCCTCGTAGTCTATGCGTTCTAGGACAGTCAGGCATTTTCACTATTTCAAACAACGCGTGGAAGTGAATAACGGTAAAATCCTCGGTGATGTTCATGTCTTTGGCAGTGAATTGGAGTTCTAGGATTCTCGAGGATGAAATGAACACGATAGGTTTACTGGATAAGGTGGAGTTGTCACAGACACACGCCTTGGGTATACGGATATCCCTCCACGGTCTCTCGTAGATGCTTAACTCCGCGATACGGTTTCCCGAGTAGTGTTCACACGCGTACCTTCCGGTATGAGGATCGTTTATGGTTTCACAGGAAGGGTTAAGACCGAACGACGCGTTGTTGAGGATGATCCTTACTCTCTCGTTTGCACTCACTTCGAATCTATAGACGCAGTTCAAGTCTCTAGCACCGCCTCGTCCGTAGAGGAAGATGTTTCTTGGAGCAGTCACTTCTCCTACGTGCTGTCTCCTGAACACTCTATGGCACGGTCCTTCGTCTTCCTTGTCAGGCCAAGTGTCACCTCCTACTCTTGTGTCTACGAATTCGTATTTCAATCTGAATGAAGCAGGGTGCAAAGCAGTACCATCTTCTGTGTGATGCTGAACCACCAAAGACTTATCAGTGGATAAGTAACTTTCTTCCACAGAGCAAGGTCTGGTGACTCTAGTAGAGTTGCTGAGGGCGCTGTGGTCGCATAGTTTTGGAGGCTCATCGCATTTATCTTCGATTAATGTGTTGCCGTCCCAGACTCTTAACCTTGTCGAGCAACCACTTGAAGAACCATTGCTTAACAAAGCATGTGCGCTCTCTCCTACAAGCAATGCTCTGTGGCTGTAGGAAATGAAACTTACCCACACTAGATCCCCAGGATATCCTCGAAATATGTAAGTGCAAGTGGTGTTAGGGGGAAGGGAGTGCTTTGGACTAATCAATCTACCTTTCCTTCCTCTTCCCGTCCAAATCTCGTCGCTGTCTGGGCTTGTGGCGTTAACATCAAACTCACACTTCAAGCTGTGTCGGGAATAATCCAAGGAGTCAGAATCGGCGAAGATGACGTCAACGTCTAGCTCAAATCCTTTTAGAGGTGAATGAGAAGGCGGCGAATGCAGAGGTATACTAAACGGTGAAGAATGGAACGCTACCAGCATCTCAGGACCTCTAGAAACCACTCTTGGAAGCCAATCGCCTCCACAGTACTTGGCTAGCACTGGGTCGTTCGTGGACCCTCCATCGTAGAAAATCAAATGATCCCTTTCTCCAGTGCAGTCCCTCCAAGCTCTCAGAGCCCTAGCTGTCTTGTTCAGCCCGGCTACGTTGATGGACCTCTTCATGTGCATCTTATGCGCTGCCTCCTGCCTCACCGCTATCATCGCATGCTTGCAGGTCGGCACAAACTTCTGCCTCAAGCTCCAGTAACAGGATACGTTCCGTGGATACATGCCCGGATAATTCGGGGACTGCAGTCTACACGGTTTCCGGTAACACTCCTCGAACTGCCGCGTACAGTACGTGCCTGGGGCGACTTGGCCACGTTCCAGAGGCGCGGTGGGGCTGCCGAAGCGGACCACCGCTTCCCTCCGCGACACGAAGCGGTAACGCAGGCGGAAGGCGAAGGGTATCTGCGGCGAGCCGAACAGCTTGACGGTGACGGTGACGGTGGAGGTTTCGCTGTAGTAAGCTGCCGGACCGGAGGAGGAGCCGCACCAGGAACCGCCGGTGAAGGGGCGACCCAGCTCGCTGAGCTGCATGTAGCCGTCGGGGCAGCCGTCCAGGGCGGAGGCTTCGTAGCGGCCCACTTTGAACTCGTCGAAGATGAGCTGAAACAAGGGGAAGATTTAGTTGATGATTTTTTTAAGTGCGTAATTGAGGTTATTTTTTTATATACTCTACTGATTTTTTTTTAAATAAAATTTATAAAATGTGACAAAAATAAAATGCATAGGTTTGATGTTGAATCGTAGTATTATTAAAAAAAACAACAGCTAATAACAAGAAATATACAATTTTAAAAATAGTATATTTATTAATTTGGGGTAATCTTCACCAACTTCAGGAGTAGCTCATAAGCAAACTACATTTTCCGGTTGCTTGCCCCAGACAGATTGCCTTTGAGGCAATCCTAAGGATTAATCACTCAACTTCTAAGTGCAAGTCTCACGAAACATAAACAGATATACAAAATTAAAGGAAGATAACCCTTACAGCAGCTATATTTGCTGAAAAATGACAGAGCGATTATACGACAGTCGCAAGAGGTGGAGCAAACCCAGTAGATCATCAATCAAGGCAGTCTAGGTGTGCTGTTTGAATTATAGATACTTAATAGCTTCCTGGGGTGATATTGCAAGTTTTCTTGCAGCGGTGCATTCCCTGGTCCCCTTTAACGATTCTCTGGGGATTTTTAGCAAAACTAGTTACTTTGTGGTTTACAAAAGGAATGTTATGGTATCTGCGAAGGCAAACTAGAAAACTAGAGCCATTTGAATAGTTGAAATGCTGAAAACGTTTCTTACTTACATCTGAAGTATTACAATGTCACAATTTTGCTGTTTTCAGCCAATAAAGCGGCTAATAAATAAAGAACGGACAGCGACACACATGAGTCATCTTTAACGTCACAAACCAGAAAGAAATGTGTATAATGTCTCTGCTAATGTCTTTTTGTACACAATAAGCAGGGCTTGTAACAGCAGAACGTTTCAATTGGAATATACAGGTTGGGAAAGTCCCCATGGTTCATCGGCTGTTACTTGAGAGCGATAAAGTAAGTAACAGAAATCCGTGCGATAGAGAAGGATGGCTATAATGAAGGCTTCTCATAGTCACCGTCCATTTCGCCCTTCCACAAAAGTCGGAATTGTATAAGTAGTGACATCTATTACAGAAAAGGCAAACGACGAAAACAAAGTACAAGTGGAAGTGAATCTTATTTGTGGAAGAGCAAAACGGCCGGGACTATGAGACGCCTTCATTATAGCCATCCTTCTCTATCGGACGGATTTCTATGACTTACTTTATCGTTCTCATGTAACGGCCGATGAACCATGGGGACTTTCCGAACCTGTATACGAGTACATATTGGAATAATATGCGAAATGAACGACACAATACAATTTCCACAAAACTATTTTATCAGCTTACGAAATAGAAAAATTGTAGTTTCCTGTTTATATGATTTTTAACTGCAAGAAATATGTCAACACTCACTCCCCATCTCGTCCTTTATAACATTTCAGCGGGATCGCCGTGGAACATATTTTCCGCCGGAAAAGAGCCAAAGGACCTATGGGGTTGGCGCTCACCACGCGCCAGCTCGTTATCCGTTTCTATAAGGCACTATATCTTTCATAAGTGCAGATCAGAGCCATACACAATAGATATAAACGGTGTAATGAAGTAAGCTCGAGTAGCGGGAGGGCGACGTGATTTGTTGCTAGTGTTTTTATTGGAGCAAGAGTACAGATCGGCACGCATAGAGGGCCGGGAGATGGATATTGTTACTGGGTTAGACAAAGCTTTAGGCTCTAGAGGCTATTATTTGTAATAAAATGAATTTGGAGTGAAACTATCAATGTTCAATAAATATTGTGCCGTGTAGAGATGGACTTAACTGGAATCTAAAAATACAATGAAATGTGAGAATACAATGGGAGGAGAATAGTGCACTTCATGAGAATTCATTCTAGGAAATTATGCATTAAACGTCAAATCATGTTGGTTCCTTTACAGAGTAATAACCTTTGTAATATAAGCTTTCATTTTTGAATGTAATGGTCTAATTACTAAGTTTATTATATATATTCAAGTTTAATGAATCATTTTTTAATTTAATGAAGTACAAAAAGGATCCATTCAATTTAGGAGATCTTGCTTAATTTTCTCTCCTTGTATTATAACTGTAAGGTTGCCTTGTACACTAAAATATTTCTTATTACTCCATATGCTTAAAAGACTGATAAATGAATAAAAAAGTTAAGGGCATTACAGCAAGTTTTACGAAATGAAGACACTAGTGGTCGTGGAGATGAGCATTGGCTAGAATGCGAAATATTTTCTTTTGTTGGCGGAAAACCTTTCCAGCAGCACTGGAATTACCCCACAGGTAAGGTCATGCAGACACCAGTTAAAATGTCATTATTGAGAAACCTACGTACTGTCTAATTAACTCTATTCAGCTTGACAATTTCACACAGAGATTATTTACAGGATAAACATTCATTAATAATTGCTCTCAAAACATGTATTGAATTAATATTATTTTTGGCCATTTTATTAAACAAAAACAATTGCTGAATTTTATCTGCATTGACCAATTCAATACCATCTCATTAATAACAAAAATAGAGTCCATCAAGGAAATTGATGACACACTGACACTTTTATTAACAGAGTGGTGTCATCAGCAAAGAAAATGCAATACTTTGGCGGCATAAAATGTATGAAATCGTTTACACAAATTAAAAATAGAAGTGGTCCTAGTACGGAGCCCTGTGGTACTCCGTACCGAATCAATTGAATATCAGAGTGAATATCATTAACTGGAACAAATTTTTTGGCAGGGGTAATGTCCTTATCCCATAATATTCCAATGTTTTAATTGATATATTATGTGAAACACAGTCGAAAGCCTTGGCTAGATGACAGTTTGTAATAACACAATGTGAACCTTCCTTAAGTCCCATAACAATAAATTTTGTTAGTTCAGAGAGCATGGGCAAATGGGAAAGGCTAAAAGAAGATTACTTAAAAAAAAAACTGGAGAGACTTTGCTTTAGTATAGTATTCTTTTTTACAATTTTTTCGAAAACAGGAATTGTAGAGATAGGACGATAATTTTCCACTTTATTGCAGTCATCTTCTTTCTTAAACAGAGGTACCTACAACTCATGCAATTTTAAAATGTCAGCAAAAGTACCCGTTTAAAAACATACATTCAGTAAAGATATAGTCGACTGTAATAATATATCCGTTGTGTTTTTACAATATTACTAGTTATGTCAAGGACATCCAGGCAATGATAATTTTTTAAAATCTTTTAAGCCTCATTTAGGTATTTCGAGAGGAATGACTGGAAGCAAATAAAAGCTATTTTTAGAAGCAAAAGGAATTCTTCAGCATCTTCTTTACTTACAATGGAATTAATCAGAAGTTTGAAAAAATTACAAAAATATTTATTAATGATCAGGAAATAATCTGCTTTTTGGTTTATTTACATTGTAATCCTTAAAGTCCAACGCCCTAGTCAAAATTGTATTTAAAGATGACATTAAAAAATATATTCTGTACGGGAGTGGATTCATACAAAATGCATCTCATACCTCGGTTATGTTTTTTTTTAGTTTTACTTGGTTTTAGTTGTCACATTAACTTTGTAAAAAAGTGCAAAGCCCTACTCGCGACGATCCCACATAATTTTCTGAAGGAAGTAATAATTTTTCCCTATAAAATAGCACATAGAAGGAAAGTTTGAAGCTCCTCCTTTCGTACAAACTTTGTTTCATGCATTTTCATCAACAAACGAAAGAGTAGTCGCATATTTAGTGCAGCGACGCTTTAAAATACGTTTATTCTGTCTGATTTGCATAAGAATCGTCATTTTATGTAAATTCCTAAATATCTCCTAAATAACGCACTGTACGAAAAAAATAATAAATACCTTTTTTGCAGAGAATATTATGCTCTACAAATTTGATCCTTTGCATGTTTGTGAAATTCTTAATACTTTTCAAGTTATTTGAACAAAATACAGGGTGTTAAAAAAAGAGTGTAAAATATTTAAGGAGGCAATAGTATGAACTAAAATAAGCAGAAAAGTCTCAATAATATGGAATGTTTTATGTTTTTTAGCCCCTTTTTTATTTTCCAAAAACGTTGTTCTTATAATAGTTGGTTGATGTTTAGTGAAATAAACAGTACGTATTTGCAGTTGTTCTCAGTGCAAAAGTTTTCTTTCGCTATGGCTGGTTACTCTAACGCAGAATTAACAGACATGCATTTCATGTATGGTCGTGCTAATGGGAACGCCACCGAGGCGCGACGTCTTTATGTTGACGCTTATCCAAATCGCCAGATTCCTTCACAACGCATGTTTGGAAGAATTCACCAAAGATTGCGTGATACCGGTTCCTTGAGCAAACAGTGCCATTTATCCGGAAGACCAAGGTCGGTATCCACTCCTAGAGCAGAAGAAGAAATTCTAGCACTGGTAGAGCAGAATCCAGGTACGAGTGTGCGGAGAATATCAGCCGAGGTAGGAATTAGTGGTCCTCTTGTTTGGAGAATCCTTCACGAGCAACTGCTTTATCCATACCATGTGCAACGAGTACAGGCCTTAAATCCAATAAATGATCATCAAGCACGTTTGGTTTTTTGCCGCTGGTTTCTACGTCATGATGCTGAAGACCCTCGTTTTCTTGCAAACATTCTTTTTACTGATGAGGCCGGGTTCACAAGAAATGGAGTGTTTAATTTTCACAATACGCATATTTGGGCCGACGAAAATCCTCATGCTCTAATAGAATCTGGACATCAGGCACGTTTTTCATTAAACATTTGGATGGGTATTGTAGGTGACAGGTTTCTAGGTCCTGTTGTTTTACCAAACCGATTAACAGGCGCTGCTTACCTCAACTTTCTGCAGAACACACTGTATGAGTTTTTGGAAGACATTCCTTTGAATCAGAGGCAACAAATGTGGTTCCAGCATGATGGTGCTCCAGCTCATTTTTCCATGGCCGTTAGAGAGCATTTACACCAAACTTTTCCACATAGATGGGTAGGAAGGGCCGGACCTGTTTTATGGCCTCCAAGATCGCCT